TTGCCATGGATATGCATTGTTGCAATGAAAACCTAATATATTTTTGATGAATCGCAATTGTAAGTTTCAACAATGGCTGTGAACCCAACGCTTCAAAGAGCTCCGGTAAATTATTGTGCACAAAATATCTATGACCATATTTGTGAAGGGCTTGTCCGTTGCCCTGCAATTCGGGCCCGGCTACATTGGCTTTTTAAGGGCTAACGGCCCAGCAGCTCGATCTAAATAGAGTATCAACGCGGGTAAGTTTACTTGTCCCCTTCCTCCGAGTGGCTTTTGTGTGTTGTTCGCCAAATTCGGCTTTATAATGCAATCGAAATGGTCGGCCATATGTGCGCGGGTCCGTTTTGTTGTCTGTTGTGGGCCCTCTATTGATGATGATGCTGCTGATTTCGTATGCACAAAAACGGTCGAGTGGCAGATAGAAAATGTCATCAATAATATACATTGTATTATTTTCATTGCATTTTTTGATGCTCCACCATTGCACAGTGGGACTATCCGGAGCAGTCGGGCTCTTGGCTAAAGATTAGTTGACTGGCACAAGTTCATAAAATGTTTACGTATACCAGCGGGGTTGCCGGCTAGGTTTAAACTTTAAACTTGTAAGTATTTGATGCTTTATCAAGAATTAACACTAATGTCTGCTTTATTAATTTAAGCCGATTTAATAAAATGCTGTTTTAAACATGGCTGTGGGTGAAATGCGAATACAACCTTTAATGACCCTACTGTGTGGCATTGCAGTGGTTTTTTGATTGTCTGACTAAATTAACCGAAAATAAAATTGCTGCTTACATCTTTTTCCCAGTATCGATTTCGTTGGAAGTGCATTGCATAAATCATGAATGCAGTGAGTGCATCATGTTGGAAACGTAATGCAGAAGGGAACGTAAGAGTCATACCAGCTGAGTCAATTGTGTGGAAATTATGAATGCTTGTCAATAGTGCAACTGATAGCAGGAAGAAGAAATAAAGTTATAAATTGAGTATGGGGATAAAGTGACTATAATTTTCATACAATAACACAGGAACATACAAATTGAACTTTGTGAAATTTCCAGAATCCATTTCTACTTTTTATAAATAATTGGGTCCTTTTTAGTAACAGTTTTATACAATCTTTTGTGTCACCACCTAAAGGTTCAGCGACAATGTTAAGAATAAAAACAAGGAAGAACGCTATAGTCGAGTACCTCGACTATCAGATACCCGTTACTAAGCTAAAGAGACGAAAGAGAAATGGATATATGCAAGCAGCAAAGCGAGATTGAAATGCGCCACCTACCGGCGGTAGACAGATTTAAGCGTTAGAGCGTTAGAGTGGGCGTGGGAATTTTTTTTTTGGATCAATCGATAGGTATTGACGAGACCAATACATTTATCTAGCATGAAAATTGTGGGTGCCACAGGCTTGGGCGGCTTGTGGGCGTTAGAGTGAGCGTGACATATTCGCGTAACAAAATTGCGCTGCGTTCAAGGCTACGGAATCTAAATTTGAGATCCCCATTCTCTATCTTTGATAGTTTCCGAGATATCGACCTTCATATTTACCATTTTTTGAAGTTTGTGGGCGGTTTGTTTTTTAACTTTTTAAAAAATATTTTTTAAATTATTTTTATGGGAGCTATAAAATATAAATGTCCGATAGTTCTCGATCCGACTTACATACTACTTGGAATGGAAATAAGACTTTGGGAAAGTTTCGTCCCGACATTCAAATGCATGGATACCTTAAACGCCAATGGGACAGAATTACAATGCTCGGTTTGCCGAACCTAAACTAAAAGCGAAATTGGTCCAGTTCGAAGTGTGATCACTTCTCGGGCGGCAGACTCCGGATCGATCCCACCTAAATTCCGCATACCCAATTACACAGTGTTAATGCCCGTGAGCGGCATTATTAATATTGTTTCTCGTTTATTTCAGTTTTCAGTACATATTTCTCTTACGAGCAATAATTAATACATATATGTATATTGAATTAAGAATTAATCGTCGTTAAATCTTGCCTGCAACATTTTCACTTTACGCAAACTAGTCTCTCAGTTTTAAAGCTATTGGGCTGAAACATTTCCAAAAGTCTTCTTTCTTTTACAGGTAGTATATAAGTCGGAACCAGCCGGATCGAACAACTATATCTTATAGCTCCCATTGAAATAATCGAAAAAAAAGTTAAAAAAATTATGTCTTTTGTGTTTTTTAATATATAACTTCCTACGCTTGAGAATAACAAATTTTAATTAGTTCTGAATTTCGAATTTAATTTTATCAAAATCGAACGACTTTATCATATAGCTGGCATAGAAACGATCGAAAAATTGGCATTTTGACATATTATCTTATAATATTGGGAATATCATTTTTTGTAATAATTATAACTGCAAGGGCATACAAACTTCGGCTCGACGAAGTTAACTTCCTTTCTTGTTTTACAAAAAAAAATCCACTTAAGATCGACACATACGGAAAAGGAAACAAGGAGGAACGCTATAGTCGAGTACCTCGACTATCAGATACCCGTTAATCAGCAAAAGGGACCAAAGGGAAATGGAGATTTGCAAGCGAGATTGAAATGCGCCACCTAACCTTGATCTCAATATATGGATATGTGGGCGGTAGACAGATTTAAGCGTTATGGGCGTTAGAGTGGGCGTGGCAAACTTTTTATGAAGCAATCGGTAGGTATTGACGACACCAATACATTTCACTTAAAATTTTTGATCTAGCATGAAAATTGTGGGCGCCACAGGCTTGGTCGGTTTCTGGGCGTTAGAGTGGGCGTGCCAATCTTTTTTTTTTGATCAATCGATAGGTATTGACGAGACCAATACATTTCAGTTAAAATTTTTTAACTAGCATGAAAATTGTGGAAGCCACAGGCTTGGGCGGTTTGTGGGCGTTAGGGTGGGCGTGGCATATTCGCGTACCAAACTTGCGCTGCGTACAAGGCTACAGAATTTAAAGCTGAGATCCAATTTCTCTATCTTTAATAGTTTTTTTTTTGGGTCAATCGATAGGTATTGATGAGAACAATACATTTCACTTAAAATTTTAAATCTAGCATCAATACTGTAGGAGCCACAGTTTTGGGCGTTTTGTGGGCGTTAGAGTGGGCGTGGCACATTGCTGAAACAAACTTGCGCTGTGCAGGAATCTCAGGAATCTGCATGCCTAGTCCCAGTATTGTTGCTCCTATAGTTTCCGAGATCTCAGCGTTCATACGGACAGACGGTCAGACGGACATGGCTAGATCGACTCGGCTAGTGATCCTGATCAAGAATACATAATCTTTATAGCGTCGGAAACGCTTCCTTCTCCCTGTTACATACTTTCCGACGAATCTAGTGTACCCTTTTACTTTACGAGTAACGGGTATAAAAATAAACATTATGTTTGATTTTTTGCTCAGGAATAGTAATTATTTTAATTTTTATTATAAAACTAAAAATGTATATTTATTACTGAGTTTTATTCCTTTTTATCAAAAATAATGATTATTTTTTAAGTTTTAAAATTAAACGACCCCTGATTTCTAATTTTTAAGAAAGCTTTTCTTCATCCAAGGAATGGATTTCTATTTTAAAAAAGCTATTACGCTAAAATGTAATTTAAATTAACCTAATTGTAATAAAATTACCCCACAATTCTTAAGTCACCCTAAAATGTTTGGCGAGCTTGTCTTACAAACAACAGGGAGATTGGTCTAAAACGGGCTAGGGCTGTCATTCTGAACATTCCTTTTATGGTTGCTTTACTTTGGTAAGAAACATTACTGATCCAAACCACCTAAAACAATGATGTTGTTACCAGTTTATTAATTATTGTATTTAGTGCAATCGTACTATTATTTTAAAAGTTATAACTAACTAATTTAAACAGGCCAGTAGTACCGCTACCATCCGCTAGGCGCCGTGGCGCTGTCATCGGTGGTGTGTGCGGCGTTAATCGCAGTGCAATGAAATTTTAATTTATTATAAATTTGACACAGAGTATCGGGTGTCTGATAGTTAAGGGACTCGACTATAGCGTTTTCTCTCTTTGTTTCTTGATCCAGCTTTGTTGCTCAGAAAAAAGGGGCAACGGGGCTTGACGATCAATAACCGAAGAAAATATCTTTTGATTCAAAAAATGATAAAAGTGTAAAATAAAAACATTTTTTAAGATGATAAATAAGCATAAGTTGGTACTTAAAAAAAATATTATGAGACCCGCTACTACTAGAGTAAAAGGGCATACTAGATTCGTCGGAAAGTCTGTTAGACGTAGAAGGAAGCGTTTCCAACCCTATAAAGTATATCGGCCCTGTTCTAGTTATCATTTCCGAAATTTCCGATTAAAGTCTTCCCAGACCTGTTCCGAGACTCACTTCGGAAAGAACTGCTCGGACTCGAGTTTCCCTCTGTTGTTACTCTGTTTACTTTCGAAAAACTCAGGGAAACTTGCCATCAAACATTATAATTAATTGTTAAAAAAAACTTCGCAAAAGCTTTATATTAAAATCATGTTTTTTTTATCAAAGTCGTTGATGATTAATATTTTTAATTGCATCATCAGAATTTAAATTAGTTGCATTAATTTTATTATTATTAATTACTTTGTGGTTGCACCTCTAAGCCCGGTAAATTCTAACCTTAACCATTTTAGCAAATCCGCACCATTTCTGAATTTCGGATTTGACTAAAACGGGCTACTGTTGTCATTCTGAACATTACTATTTATGTTCGTTTTTCTTTGGTAAGAAAGAATATTGATCCGAGCTACCAAAAAAATGTTTTTGCTTATAACTTTATACTTTGATTTGATGCGTGCATAAATTTAATGCATTAAATGTGTACACAACTAATGCACATAGATAAAATCCAACACCGGATCAAAATGTAATCAGAACTGTGGCTGAAACCCTCAGACAAAGTTAAACCTTTTGTCAAGAGACTGTTTTATTACAAACCTAATTGGAACTTTCGTACTGAAATTGTATTATGCTAAAGGGAAATCCGACAATGTGAAAACTGGAACAGGCCTGATAATTTCGTCTGCTCACTAGTGCACCATTTTCTAATTAATTTTCTCCCACATGAATTAGAAGGGGCAACCTGCTCTGTATGTCCTGGCGTTAATTCTGGGCAACACTTTTAAATGTTCACCCGCCGAAGAGCTGCGCTTAACAGAAGCCACAGCTCCGCCTTCCTAAGTCCTGTCCTCACTCACGCCAACTTTCCAGACCCGCCGCTATATCATCATTTGTGCACCCTTTAATCATTTGAATAGTTGCCAATCATCATTAGTGACGGCGTTGATCTGAATGTACCAGGGGGCAAAAGGCTGTTGAGTTTTTTTTCGGGTGGGGATCGCGGTGGGTACGTAGACCCCATCGTCGTTCGGTGACTGGGCCAAGCTGCAACTATGAGACCGCCAATTAGCAAAACGTTGCCAATACACTGAGAAAGGTGACGTATTTCCTCGTTCGTCACCCACAATTCCGATTTTGCCGTCAAAGCCAGCCACATCCCTTCTGAAGTCAAAAACTCTTAGCTCGTGCTTACCATGCGTATTTTTTGTCCAATCCACCAGACTAATCAGTGTAAACCACTTCAAAGCGTTTACAACGTCGGCGGCTACAAGTTTCCTTTTTTGTAATGGGCTGCAATGTGCGCGAGTTGCGATGTGTCTGGCGAAAGTACATTCAAAGAAAACGTTCCGAATTTCAGTGTTAAATCCGTTGCAAAGGATGCGTTTTAAGCAATGAATTCTTGTAAAATTTATATTGATTTACAAAGGAACACCTGCAATTATTTTGTTCTATTTATGAAATGTATTAAAATTATCATTGCCCGAAAAAAACAAGAGAGAACGCTATAGTCGATGCCATCGACAATCAGATACCCGTTACTCAGCTCAGTGTACTGGGGGCACTAAGGGAGTTCGAGGGAGATTAGTATATACAAGTAGCAAAGCGTCTGTTCCCAAGATTGAACACTTCATTTGCTTATAACTGTTTAATGAATGGCCCGAATTAAACAATTTGTAGTTGAAAATTTATAACCAAAACAAATCCCATTAAAATTTTTCAAATATATTCAAAAATGTGGGTGCTAGACGAGTTTTAGCGGCATGGAATTTAGTGGGCGTTAGAGTGGTGCATAAAGGCGAAGGGCGGAGCCTGGTTTTCGAATAATATTTTTAATCGACGCTAGCAATGCTGAAAAAAACTTGTACTGCGTAATTAGCTCAAAAGTCTACAAGCCAAATCCCATTTTTTTTTAAATACCCAATTTTTAGGGCATATATGTCCAAAAATGTTCAACTTTGTAACTTATTTTGCCTTAAATTGTACCTTAAATAATTAATTAAAATATTATAAGCAATAAAATTATTATTTGGTTAGGTTACACATCATCATTAACCAGACAAATTAAGTTTAAACGGTTTTTAGCTGTAAAATATTCTTAGGTAAAAGGCAATAGTCTTAAGGCCCACGATGACCTAAAATATTTGGCTGTTCGTGACCAAATAAATAAGACAAAAGGTACCAAAAATGACAGGTTACTTTTCAGGATTTTAGAAAAAAAATTCTATAAATTCCATCCTACGACGTACAATTATGGTCAGTGTCTTAAACATTCGGGAAAAGACTTTTTTTTAAATATATTGGGGCGTCTATTTATTTTCTTATGTTTTTCAAAGCCTATTCACAACATATAATCAATTTGTTTGAGTACGAACTCTCGAATATATCTTTATTCAAAACATTAAATGTTGTTATTTTATCAAACCGCGATTTGGCAAATACCCTGCTGAAACAGACTTGCGCTGCACAGGAAGCCCAAGAATCTGAATGCCAAGTCCCAACATTATAGCCCTAATAGTTTCCGAGATCTCATCGTTCATACGGACGGAATATATATCCAGAATATACATATGTGTATACTTTATGGGGTCGGAAACGCTTCCTTCTACAAGTTACACACATCCGAAGAATCTAGTATTCCGATAAACTGACAAATAAAGTGGTAGTTATAAAAATTTAATCGATAGTAATAAAGTATATTAAACAAATAAGGGCTCGGGGCTTGCTTGTATAATAGTTTGGTGTCCGCACGCCTATACATATGAGTCCCATAGGAGAATCTCAGAATTAAATCCGAGTGTTCCTTATTAAAGAACGTTCAAACTAAAATTGTTCTAAATACATTTATCTAGGAGTAAGCTCGGCCAATCGTAATGCGACTATATAAATGCTGCTATTGCTCCTAGTAGCATCCAAGTGCGCAATATCAAATGGCCCGACCAAAACTGTTCAGTTGCTTCGCACATGGAGCACTTAAACTTTGTCCATCGTGAAAACGGATTCACCGCGTTTCAGTAGCTTTACACTTGCTGTGTTAGGTAATCCCAAGCTAACGTGGTAAGATGTGTAATTTTATTTAAAGAGCGAGGTCTCATTACACCTCAACTTTTTCGGCATTTATGTTGAGTTTTAAGCGGAAAACCTAAAGGGTAAGTCTTTTAAGGGTAAGTCAAAGGAAACAGTGGGGATTGGCATTTACCCGGGTGAAAAGTTTATCAACCTCTTCTTCTGACCACTACCATAAGCAAAGCAGATAAGAAGGCAAGCGGAAAAAATCAGCATTGACAACTGGAAGGCGGAAAGTTTCCAAAGTTTCGAGGGCCAAGCTCAACTTTGGTGGCCATATGTCAATTTGCTGCTACAACTCGTTCTGTGGGACGCCGACAAGAAACGCACGGAGTTGAAACTTTCCCGGTAGTGAATTCCTCATTCAATTTTAAAGACGCCTCTGAATTCTGGACTGCCGTAAAGTAAAAGCATTCAAAGAACTTATTCCTTGTCCGGCCAGACCAGAAAGATTTTTAATCTATTCCTTAAAGGTGCATAAGGATTGTTATTTTTAAACGTCGCTGGCCGTTGATCCGAGGCCCTTTGACTGACACGTAAGTGTTTTCTTTCCCACTATTGGAACAGGCTAGCAGGGCTTTTAATACCCCTTGGTGGAGCGAAACTTATGGATGGGAGTAAAATCAACTTGTATAGAAACTCAATAAAATTGTTTGAGAACTCAATGACTGGCGTGCAGATTGAGGCAGATTGAGCCGTGTTTGTCTGTGCGTTTCTACGATTTCGTAAATCTGAAAGGGACAAAGGAAGACCCTCCGGGCACGTTAAATGTACAATTTATGGCTGCCAAAGCAAAAACGTATTGGGTGAAAAGTTTCTGGGAGAGAGTTGTGAAGAGCTGCGCTTAAATCTGTATTGTCAGATGAAAGACCACTACGGGGTGGTAAATCCTTTTTAAGCTCGATATTGTGTCCTCCTGTAATTCATGATTGTTTCAATAATTTATAGCCAAGAGATACAGCTACTACATTCTTTTGTGGTTGCCATTTGGCTTCTTTTACCGACGCCTTATTTTATTTGTAGAGCAGATCAAACAAAAACAGTTTTATTAAATTATTATTTCTAATGTTTATATTTTGATAGGTACTTCTAATAATAAATAATCTCTTTCTTTCTTTTCAATAGCCAAAATACATTAACTTCTAGCAATCTGAGAATAATAGAGAGTAAAATGTTATACTAGATTCGTCAGAAAGTACGTAACAGGCAGAAGTAAGCGTTTCCGACTCCATAAAGTATATATATTCTTGATCAGGATCACTAGCCGAGTCGATCCAGCCATGTCCGTCTGTCCGTATGAACGCTGAGATCTCGGAAACTATAGGAGCTACAATCAATGTGCTACGCCCACTCTAACGCCCAAAAACCGCACAAGCCTGCGGCGCCCACGATTTTCATGGTAGATAAACAATTTTAACTGAAATGTTTTAGTCTCCTTAGTAGTTATCGATTGATTAAAAAAAAAGATTGTCACGCCCACACTAACGCCCACAAACCGACCAAACCTGTGCTGCCCACAATTTTCATGCTAGATAAAAAATTTTTACTAAAATGTATTGGTATCGTCAATACCTATCGACTGATTAAAAAGAAAGCTTGCCACGCCCACTCTAACGCGCATAACGTTTAAATCTGTCTACCGCCCGCATAACCATATATTGAGATCACGGGTAGGTGGCGCATTTCAGTCTCTTTTGCTGCTTGCCTATCTCCATTTCCCATTGCTCCCATTAGTTGAGTAACCGGTATCTGATAGTCGAGGTACTCGACTATAGCGTTCTTTCCTTGTTTGTACTCACTTTCAGTACATGTTATTGTACTTTACTCACTAAAATTGGTATAGCGAAACTATATACGACAATGTGCTTCTTTCGATAGGAGTATTACTTGTGTCGATCCGACTATCGCGTCAAAAATTCCATTGCGCTCGTTCAGGATGGATATAAATTATTTATTGACAAGGAATTTAATGAAATATATAAAGAACACAAAGTATAAAGAAGTCTTGTTGGCTTATGAAGTGTGACACACGTCTGCCTTCTTTGACGTTGCCTACTGTACTGCCCTATTTTTGACAATCGTAACAGATTTCCAATTCTGTGGCAACATATAGTAATCTCCTTGAAAAGTTGGACAGCTTGTGGGCTTTGCTGCACTCTTGAGCTGCGCAAGGTCTTCTTGCTTAGTCCGGGTCGGAAACGGTTCTGTTTACTTGCTACATACATTTCCCAGAATACAATAGACCCTTTTACATTAAGGGTAACTGGTATAACAAAAGAGAACGCTATAGTCGATCGGCTATCGGATAGCCGTTACTTACTTAGTCTAAACGATTGCGAGGGAGATGGAGATATGCAAACAGAAAAGTGATAGTCATCGATATTGCATTTAACGCCACCGCGCCAACTAGTAGTAGTAGGTATAAAACATTATTACTGTCCAATATTAAATATGTGATCGCCAGAGAAACAGAATACAATTTTCTAAACTGGTAATAAATGGTTTGAGGGGTTTTGGATGGTTAAATGTATAGTAATAGTCAAAACAAAATCACATTTAAACTTTTACAACATCTTTAAAAATGTAGTCGCTAGAGTGGGAGTGGCACATTCAGATAAGGAGATTGCGCAAAGTCATGAGCTAAGCAATCGAAATCTGAATTAGATTTAGCCATCTCCATTTGTTTGTCCATATGAACGCTGAGATCTCGGAAACTACACCGAGAAAAAAATTCTTACTTATCATTCGCCATTTTTCACACTGAAAAAGAAAGAATTAAGGTTTAACTTTGCAATGAATCTACAAAAATAAAATTCTGAACTTAGCAGCAGTAGGGACCGTAGTAGGCAAAGAATTTTGTATCTGTATGCCAAGGAGCCTCATTTTGTTATTGTCCAGTTCATCCGATTCATGTAAACGGCTTTTTATATCCTTAAAAATGTGTTAAGCCATGACATCTGCCCTGGCGTTTTGTTTCCACCGTCTTTCAGTTGATTTCGTGATGAAGGGTGGAGCAAATGGAAAACCATTTAGCCAATTTACATGTTGGATCCAGCTGCAGCTGGAATCCAAACTCAGAGTATTATACAAGCCGTAGAATCAACAAGACCGGAGACTACAAGTCAAGGCAAGAATGAAAAAGTTAAAGCCAAACTGCAAGTCTCATGCGGCAGCACGGTAAAGACGTCCGCAAACGCAACCAACCAACAAATCCTAAGCGCGCAAAGGCTTAGAAATCCAAGTGAAGAGAAAGGACTTGGTATTCTACCGAGTCAGTCAGTTTATCATCCCGCCCTTCTTCCGCACTCCACATAATTAGATTACGCTTTGGATGCATGTTTACTATTGCAAGTTGCAACAAAAAACGAAAGGAAACAGACGCCTGTGGAAAATGAGGGAACAAGGAAAGCCAACAATGAGAAAACTTATAAAACACATTTGCGAACGAAAGTGAGGATGTTTTCATCGCTAGAAAAACTTGGTTCTCTTTCAGCTTGAGGTCTACTGCTCCCTTCCCATTAGCTAACGGTTCGGCTTTATTTCCCCGTGGTAAGCTTCTCACTGTCGAGTGATGACGAAGTATCCCTATACTCTATGTGGCAAATAGCTCAGTAGTGGGTGAAGTCCATACCGAAGTCTTCGAAAATCAACTTCACCTACTGGTTCCAAGCGACGGTGGAACAGGTTGCTTTTTGCCTCTTCAAGCTTCTTCCAATTTAAAATTACAAAAACAGTGTCAGCACATGTGGCCACAGTTCCTGCTCAACGTTCTTGTCTCCTTTCTGTTTTGTTGGCGCAGTATGTCCCCGGGGGCAACTTGCCTTGGTTATGACATTCGGGCTTACATGTCAGGAACAAAAAAGCAACAACAACTGTCACAACAGCATCTCGACCAAAACGAACTGAGCTTTGTGGGTTTGGTCAATGTTATAATTTGCCGCATGACAACTAAACACAGCACAAACAAAAACACCTCTTAGCAAGGTAAAAAAATAGTGACGATCGCACCATCAACATACAAAAGTTCTGATATCAAATTTTGTGACCAAAAATGCTTGTAAATTTTTTTATATAAATACGCTTTCTTAAATGTATTCATGTTACCCGGTTAATTAAAATATTTAAGTTTCTCGCATACGAAGGTATGTTCAATTGCAGCGTGCCGAATAATAACATTTTATAAAGTTTACTTGTTTAGTCTAATCATACCCTTTACTCCAAAAGTAAAAGGGTATATTGTATTCGAGGAAAGGCATGTAAAAGGTGGAAGAAAGCGTCTCCGACCCCATGAAGTATATACATTCTTAATCAGCATAACTAGCGCAGTCGATCTAGCCATAACCGTCTGTCCGTCAGAACGCTGTGCTCTCAGAAACTTTAAGAGCTAGAGGCTTTATATTTCATATTTAGATCCTTATCTTCGTAAGCAAGTTTGTTACGCGAACATACCAAACGCCTTACCTGTCTGCGGTACGGATACAGCAGCCCGTCTGCTAACAAGTTCTGAAATTAAATATTTCCGTAGACAGATCATATTTCAATTCTTTTAGAAAATATTTATACTTTTTAGAAAATATACGCATTTTATAGGGTAAGAACCAGTTCCTAAATCATTAGGTAATCATATTTAGAAAAGGTAATGCAAAGCGATTTTATTTTTTAGATATGTATAAAGAAATTTTTTCTAGTTTTTATGGCGATTCTTGATTATGGTAACCATTTCCTATATTTCCAGTATTCTGGTTGACAATTCATAAAACTCGTTCATAAAGTTTGACCTAAATTTTAGGGTTGGTTTCCTAACGAATGGGGTCAGTTTTAAAACATTTCGGGCTTAACTTGAGAACATAAAAATATAAAAAAAGAGGTTTGTGTACATGCTATATTTTCTAAACGCCTGGTAGAGATTTATTTCATTTCGATACTTGTGCTTTCTTATTGCTAGAATTGATTGTATTTTGGTTATTTTCCTGATGAGAAAGAATTTATTTATTAATATAAGTACATATAAACATATAAGCATTAGAAGTAATATTTTAATAAAACTTACAATTCACTGTGCTACTATGAGGCTGACGCTCTAGCTGCTAAACCACCGAGCGAATTTTTCAAGAGCGGACAATCGGGATAATAAGAACGGCGTTCTCCCCATTTCTTGCAAGTCATCTTTCAGTGAAGCGTTCATAGTTTCACCTAAATGTTTATGATTTGACCACGCGGTGTTCGTTTTTTATGAACGGAACATAGCGAACGGATTGTTGTTAAATTATGAAAAATGTTCTTGATTTTTTTCGTTCTTTTTTTTCTGGGTGTATTTACGTAACGCTTTCTTGTTTTTTCTTGACTTTAGAAAAAATGTTTTTGTTTTTAGAACAAAAAAAAATTGAATGTTGATTTTCTAAAATGTAGTGTTCATTTTATTTTGAGTGTAGTAGTCGCCTTCGCACACTGTCCTCTAGCGCTTCGGCACTACGAGGACTGCCGTCCACAGTGTTATCAATCTTGGGATAATTCCCGTGCTCACTAGTTTTAAACGAAAGACGGCCAAGAAATTGTGATTTCTCTTAGTTGCTTCGATTTACAATAGGCAAGTCCCCGCAGCCCCAAGTGCTCCCAGTTCGTCCCGAACCCTTTCACGCGAGAGTGCGCCTTCTTGGCATGTCCTCTTGTAATTACTTGGCCAGTTCCCATGGCTGGCTAGGGGTGGTTCTTGCTCTGGGGCCTGTCTCCGATTGTTGAGTGATAAGTTGTTGTTGCAGTCGTCTGTTGTCTGTTGCCTGCTCGGAACATGACAGCTTTCCCCAAGCGGAGGGTCCTTAACTTGCAACAAACAACCCGCCCCCCTGGTTTCCTGGTTGCTAACTAGCTCGTCCTCACCAGCCCCATCGAGCTTGACTTTTGGGTCGCTATCAGCACCGCGTTGGCGTTGGCCCTTGTCTTTGTGGCCCAAATGTTGCTCTAAATTGTTAATTAAATTGTTGTATTCTCATTCTCTAACGCATATGTGGGAACCGGACTGAATATTACGGTTTAAGCATTGACACCGAGTTTACTTGCATTCTTTATGAAGTTATTTATATAACACCAGTTGTATTACATTCGAATTTAAAAGGTACACTCATACACGCAGAATAAAAATCAAACTTAATTTAAAAAAATTTGACATTGATTTAAGACAATCGCCTATAAAGATTCATTAAATTTTAAGTTATATTTATTTTTATACCCTTGCAGAGGGTATTATGATTTCAGTTAGAAGTTTGCAACGCAGTGAAGAAGACGTTTCCGACCCCATAAAGTATAAATATTCTTGATAAACATGACTAGACGAGTCGATCTAGCCATGTCCGTCTGTCCGTCCGTTTCTACGCAAACTAGTCTCCCAGTTTTAAAGCTATCGGGCTGAAACTTCCCAAAAGTATTCTTTCTTTTGCAGGTAGTATGTAAGTCGGAACCAGCCGAATCGGACAACTATATCTTATAGCTCCCATAGGAATAATCGGGAAAAAATTATTTTTTTGGTCTTTTTTAACATATAAAACAAGGAAGAACGCTATAGTCGAGTACCTCGACTATCAGATACCCGTTACTCAGCTAAACGAAGATATGCAAGCAGCAAAGGGAGATTAAAATGCGCCACCTACCGGCGGTATACAGATTTAAGCCTTATGGGCGTTAGAGTGGGCGTGACAAATTTTTTTTGGACCAATCGATAGGTATCGACGAGACCAATACATTTCAGTTAAAATTTTTTATCTAGCATGAAAATTGTGGGCGTCACAGGTTTTTGCGGTTTGTGGGCGTTAAAGTAGGCGTGGCAAACTTTTTTTTGGGTCAATCGATATGTATTGATGAGAACAATACATTTCAGTTAAAATTTTTATTCTAGCATCAAAACTGTAGGAGCCACAGTTTTGGGCGGTTTGTGGGCGTTAAAGTGGGCGTGGCACATTGCTGAAACAAACTTGCGCTGCGTAAGAAGCTCAGGAATCTGCACGCCAAATCTCAATAGCCTAGCTCCCATAGTTTCCGAGATCTCAGCGTTCATCCGGACGGACAGACGGACATGGCTAGATCGACTCGGCTAGTGATCCTGATCAAGAATATATATACTTTGTGGGGTCGGAAACGCTTCCTTCTGCCTGTTACATACTTTCCGACGAATCTAGTATACACTTTTACTCTACGAGTAACGGGTATAACTATAACTGCAAGGGTATACAAGCTTTGGCTTGCCGAAGTTAAGTGGCGTTAAAGTGGGCGTGGCGCCCTGATGAAACAAACTTGCGCAAAAAGCTCAGGAATCTGTATGCCAAGTCCCAATAGTCTAGCTCTTATAGTATCCGAGATCTCAGCGTTCATTTGGACGGACGGACGGACATGGCCAGATCGACTCGGCTAGTGATCCTGATTAAGAATATTTATACTTTATGGGGTCGGAAACGCTTCTTTCTGCCTGTTACATACTTTCCGACGAACCTAGTATACCCTTTTACTCTACGAGTAACGGGTATAAAACACCAACGATTTTTTTTTTTAATGTATTGTTCGTATTAACACCTATCGATTGACTCAAAAAAAAGTTTGCCACGCTCACTTTAACGCCCACAAACCGCTCACAAACTTCAAAAAATCATAAATATGAACGCGGATATCTCGAAAACTATCAAAGATGGAAAGTTGGGATCTCAGATGTAGATTCCGTAGCCTTGTACGCAGCGCAAGTTTGTTACGCGAATATTTCACGCCCACTCTAACGCCCACAAACCGCGCAAACCAGTGGCGCCCACAATTTTCATGCTAAATAAAAAATTTTAACTGAAGTGTTTTAGTCTCGTCAATACCTATCGATTGATTAAAAAAGAAGAGATTGCAACGCATACTCTAACGCCCACAAACCGACCAAACCTGTGGCGCCCACAATTTTCATGCTAGATACAAAATTTTAAGTGAAATGTATTGGTCTGGCCATACCTTTCGATTGATCCAAAAGTTTGCAGACCCCACTCTAACGCTTAAATCTGTCTACCGTCCACATAACCATATATTGAGATTACGGCGCACTTCAATCTCTCTTTGCTACTTGCATATCTCCATTTCCCTTTGGTCCCATTAGCTGAGTAAAAGGTATTTGATAGTCGAGGTACTGGACTATTGCGTTCTTCCTTGCTTAAACGTTTTTTTCCGATTATTCCTATGGGAGCTATAAGATATAGTCGGCTGGCTCCGACTTATATACTACCTGCAAAAAAAAGAAGGCTTTTGGGTAAGTTTCAGGCCTATAGCTTTAGAACTGAGAGACAAATTTGCGTAGAACCAGATGGACAGACGGACATGTCTAGATCGACTCGTCTAGTGATGTTGGTCAAAAGTATTTATACTTTATGGGGTCGGAAACGTCTCCTTTACTGCGTTGCAAACTTCTGACTGAAATCATAATACTTTCTGCAAGGGTATAACAAAAGTAGTTTTTAATATACATTTTTTCTTAACACTACGATGAGATACCTTAAAATTAACGCCTTATCGTCTTGTGCAATTTACTTTGCACATTAATCTGGACAACATGAGTTAGAAAACACTTTTATTTGGCGTGTTTTTTTAGTTTTGTACACTTTTTTCTTTAATAAGGTCATAAAAAATAAACATTAGAATACTTAAAAAAAATTAAATTTAAAGCAAGAGAAAACGTTATTGTCGACGAAAAAAGAGCCATCTATCGGCTGTTTACGTTATATACTATCACGCCACATAACGTTAAACCTAAGTGGCCCTAGTGAAATTTCGTAAGCACCCGATTTTCTGTATCTTCATCCCCCTCGCACTCTACTGCGTTTGCTAATCAGTTGTGGTCCGATCATAACGAGTGATACACAAATCGAAAGGAATTGCAAAAACTAAAAAGATTGATTACCAAGACATTAATAATTTCAAATGGTTTTGGAGACAAAACCGATGAAAGTGTAAAGGTAAAACTTTAAAAAATTTGAGCTGTTGGGGCCGGTGGGGATAAGTGCCCTACGTTATTAGCCAAGTTTTATTCTTACTGAGAATACGCGTCGAATGACACCTTATTTGTTCAAAAATTATTCCGAAACACAGTTTTGGGGACTTTTCAAAATGAGAATGTTTGTCCTTTTGTTTGTGTGCTTGTATGAATCCCCTTTTGGGTTTTCTTTGTCTTGGGACCCTTATGGTTGTATTAAGAAACCCGAAGAACTTTTGTTCTACGGCTTTTGAAAGCCCACTAGCTTAGCGGAAAATCCACAAAAATAGCTAGATTTTAAAGACTTATAGTTTCTAAACCATAACTGCTAAAGATAGATGCTATATGTCGCTGAAAAGCTAACAATAACCTGCTGAACATGTTGCCGTTGCTTAAATTCTCGAAATACAATATATTAAAGGTTTTTTGATCACTTTTTGTCTATTTCCTCAAAATTGGTTCAAACGATTTCTTTTTAAATTTCAACTTTTGATCTGCAAAACTTTTTGTCATAAAAATTACCGTTTGAAGATACCCGTTACTCAGCTTAAGGGACTGCGAGAATGATTGAGACATTCTTATAGGATCTCTGCCTTTTTCACTAACACATCTAGCCTATAGCGCCACATATCTTCTTCTAGAGCGCCACCTAGCCTATAGCGCCCACTAACCTATAGCGCCCCTAGCTGCGTGGTGGCGTATTAGTGAAATCAGTTGAGTTGCTGCTGTGATGTGCAATCTCGATTAAATGACAAAATATTAATTATTATTTGGTGTTGGGGCGGTGTGGCTTGATCGTTGAAATAGTTGCAGCCCCAAGATTGAGTGGTACCCAAAAAACACGGGAGTATTTTGGGGTTTTTACGCGACGTGCGTAGATGTTTATTGTATCACTTTGAAACAAGAACTGCCTAAGCCTAACTTAACTTAAGCGCTCCAGAGCAGAGCGGAGACTTAGGGAAGAGATGGAGAGGGAGAGCGGTCGGCAGTGCGAGCGCGCGAGATGTAGACATGTGGATAAAACTGCCGCTCGACACTGCCTCCTGAAATTAAACGCCCTTTTGGCGAGAACATTTGGTTAAAACTTTTTAATAACGAGACCGATTTCAATCATTTTTGGTATGTAGATGGGTGTTGATAAAATATAAAAAAAAGTGGCGGTGGACGGGTTTTAGTATTATAGTCGTTTGTGGGCGCTAGAAGGGTTTAAGTGTTAAAGTCGTTATAGTGGGCGTGGCACCCCATTGAAACAAACTTGCGTTGTGCAGGAAGCCCATGAATCTGCATGCCGAGTGCCAACACTCTAGCTCTTATACATAGTTTCGGAGACCTTAGTGTTCATACGGACAGACGAACATGGCTAGAGCGACCCTGATTAAGAACTTATATACTTTATGGGGTCGGAACGCTTCCTTCTATCTGTTACATACTTTCCGACGAATCTAGTACATATACTATTTTACTCCAAGAGCAACGGCTATAAGAATTTTGAAAAACATGACATCAAAATTAAGTTTAGTGTGACCGGTTTTCCAGAGGGTGCCTAAAATATTATGTAGTTTAAGATTTATTGGCAGTTATAAATTCTAAATTTTGGGATACTGCCGCGCAAAAGTCTGCTGAAGAATGGACTTACCAAAAATGTATGTTGTTTATTATGTGTGACATCTCTAATCAAAATAGTTTGAAGTTTTATTTTGTCAATTAAATTTTATTTTTTTAATTTGTACATTAGGTTATGTTGTATATTTTAAAAGCTTTCGTAGGCTTCCCATTTGCTATAAGATGAGAAAAAAGGTCAGAGACATTTTTTTGACTTCTAGGAAGAAATACTACTTTCTAGTGCTACCTCAGCATCTCTGACTTTTGGATTTCAATTTTATTTTATTAATGTACTGACGAAGCGCACAAGGAAAATGTGCGAAGGCGAATTTTACGTACACACGAAGAAATGAAAATCTAGTCCGATCCTAGCGATCGAAAGATATCGCGGCGATTTTTTTTTAATTTCATGCCAAATTTTACTCGTATTTATTTTTTAATTTGTACCTACACGATGTTTTGATTTCATATTTAACATACATAATAAAATTGCTTATATAGAACGCCTCCGATGTCGACTAAGTTGTTAATTAAGACACTCTTTTTCATATATTCGGATCTGCAACGTGGACTAGGCCTATGGGGGACACCACTTTAAAAAAACGAGCCTGGAACTGAATAAATATAGAGATACAAATTGTTGGAGTGTTATTTAAGGCATTAAAATGGTGGGGGACCATGGACATGATCGTTCATGGCCGTCACTGAAATCACGATACAGTATTGTGACATCAATCTTGTGTCCTTTATAGACCGCACTCCACGTATAAAATGACTATTTATATATGCTTCTTCAATAGACAAAAAAAATTACATTTTTTATTAAATGAAAAAAAATGTTACATGATTTTTATAGGAACTAATTTGAAACTCTAATTAGGTTTATGGAAATTCATTTAAAAATTTAATTAATTTTATACCTTCTTATTAAAATATAATTACTTTAATTGAAAATATGAGAAAAGCACCCTCGTTTTTTATATCAAAACCGGCAACTTTGAAATTAAATTACAAGACGTAAATTCTTAAGAAATCGCGGTCCATCAAGGATATTTTTTCGCGAAGAGTATAGAGTATTACCAAAATCGCCATAGAAAATATGTTTTAGGGTTAATTTTTCAAAAAATGTAAAATAAAAAGAAAATTGTCCTTCAAATTTGAAATAAATTCCGTAATTTCGAGCCCACGAAGAGTCAACATTTATTTTTTTTGTGCAAGTTTTAAAACTTGAATTTTTTAACAATTACGTGTGCAAAAGCAAAAAAAAATTTTAGAACACGTTAAAATAATAATAAGAACCAAAAAAATATTTATAGTACATTAAAATATCAGTTTTTTTTAACGTTTTTAGTTTGATTGGGTACACTCAAAATAAAATTAACCCTAAAGTCAAGGAAACCGCCCTATTTTAGTCTTCAAGTCAAGCTCGCCATAATTTTAGGGTAATTTTCTAAAAATATTGTCGAAATATTTCTAAAATCTAGGGCTAAAAGCCATAAAAATTTGAAACCACTTTCTAAAATATTGGAAAATATTTCTAAGATATAGGAAAATGATTTTTAAGTATTGGATAATTTTTCTAAGATATAATAAATATTTCTATATAATATGGCACTTCTTCCTAGATTTTAGAAATAGTTTTCTCGAAATAAATAATTTTCTTTCTAAATTTTATGGCTTTAATTTTCTAAAATATATGCAACAATCCCTTAAATACAGAACAATTTTTTCTAAATATAGAAAAATATTTCTAAATAAAAGTTCACATTTATATAAATAATTGATAAATGATTGCGATAGAAAATCTCCCACGCTGCTTTTGGAGATGATGAAGTCGACCCGTGAGTCCTGCACGTCCTTCAAGTTCCCCGAAGATCCTCTTTTTCCTCTCTTGCTAGGGATGAGAGCGGAGTGAATGACGTGGAAGAGTAGAACGTCCTTGGTATCTGTGAACAAAATATTATTTTGTGATAATAAAATATGTACATACATACATATATGATTTTTTTGAAATGTCAAGCTAAATTTGGTTTCTGTATATTTTCTATACTTCAAAAGTTTAACAAGGAAGAACGCTATAGTCGAGTACCTCGACTATCAGATACCCGTTACTCAGCTAAAGGGACCAAAGGGAAATTGAGATATGCAAGCAGCAAAGCGAGATTAAAATGCGCCTCCTACCGGCGATAGACAGATTTAAGCGTTATGGCCGTTAAAGTGGACGTGCAAAATTTTTTTTGATCAATCGATAGGTATATATTTTTTATATAGCATTAAAATTGTTGGCGTCACAGGTTTGGGCGGTTTGAGGGCGTTGGAGTGGGCGTGGCACTCTGCTGAAACAAACTTGCGTAAGAAGCTCAGGATCTGCACGCCAAACCTCAATAGCCTAGCTCTTATAGTTTCCGAGATCTCAGCGTTCATCCGGACAGACGGACCGACGGACATGACTAGATCGACTCGACTAGTGATCCTGATCAAGAATATATATACTTTATGGGGTCGGAAACGCTTTCTTCTGCCCGTTACACACTTTCCGACGAATCTAGTATACCCTTTTACTCTACGAGTAACGGGTATAAAAATGTATTGTCCAATTTTGTAAATAATATTTGTTAATAAGCATTTGAAAAACCAGCATTTAATTACTCAGTACTGTAATAACACTATGTAAGTTTATAATTCCGTTAAAATCCTAAGATTATTTTAAGTATAGGGTTTCACAGAAAAAGAGATACACTTTAAAATGTGTTGACTGCATAACAAAACAAGAATCCGTTCGCCTATGAAATATATTTAAAGTTGGTTTAAAATCATAGTGTTTCAAACTCTGTCTTCCTTTTCATCAGAATCCTTGGGTAGGGGAATTTTTTGAAAGACTCAGTTCGAATTGGTGATTCGAAGCGAATATAATTTTAAGGTATCCATTGAGGTAAATAAATAACAACAAAAGATTTAATTAACTAAAAAAGGAATTGTAAATTTAGTGTAAAACTCTGAATCACCATACGATTATAGGGGTAAAGACTACTTTAAATTAAACGTGCGGACTTGACAACGACACTTAATATATTTTTTCGTAAAGCTAAAGTTTGTTAAGTATTGTAAAGTTTTTGTTTTCTTACCTTCGCTTTGATTAAATAATGTTTTGAGTAAATTTATCCTCTGGACTCCTTGAATTTTGGACAAAAATAGTGAGAGAGCCACCGTTTTAAAGTTTTTCCATTTTGCAACAAAGGTTTCACCGTCCTTGGAATGTATCTTTTGGTAGTCTGCAACAATCTGAAAATAACACCAATTTTAGTTTTGATATATTGTATAATTACCAATTCGTGTCCGAACGCCTGCTTAAGTGTAGGAAGTTCCTCAATAATTGTGCTAAGTGTAGCAGTCGTCGACAGGAAACTTTGACACCACTCAAATGTAAGAGCCCACTTTTCATCAACTTCGATTCGTGGTTCTATATTAAACACAAGCCACTGTTTACTCGCGATCACCTCATTTTTGTCCGTTGAATTGAACAGCAGACTGCTTCTTTGCCTAGGCTTTTAAATTATAGATTTTACTGTATAGAAGACCCCCTGGTTTCTTTACATTTTTTATGAAATATGTCTTATAAAAATATTTAAAATTAATAATGGTGTTAAATAAATAATAATAAATAAACATGAACATCTTCCGAGATTTTTTAGGAGGACAGATTGATTTGGCTGAATATTGTTAAACACAAATTGTTACATATTTACTCACTTGGCGTTTCCAATTTTGCAGTTCTAAAAAAAAGACAGCGCTTACCCTACTAATTCCTTCCGAATTTCCATCCCGAATTACTCCCAGCTTAACGATTTCAAGCTTTCATCTCCTAAATTCAGATCTAGCATGCGTTCATAATTATCCCAGAAATCCCTTCCAACAAAATTTCCAACGAAAAGCAAATCTCAGTGTCACAGACATAATTTTTGACGGTTTCCAAATTCCCCGTATATTGACAGACGTTTTGATAAACCAACTTACAAATGCTTGCCAAGAATAAAACTTTATATAAAACAACACTAATAAAATCTATAAACTATCTGCATACTAAAATTTTGTTATTTACTTCGGGACATATTTAAAAATAGGCATTTTATAAACCGTTTGGAAAAAATTAACTAAAAAACCGTCTGCAAACCGTCCAGCCTGACAGTGGTACCAATTTGCTTGAACTTTAAAATACCAAATTTCGGAATAGTTATCGTGTTAACGAATTATTTATAGTACGGTACCCAGTATTGTAGTAAAAAAAACCTATTTCTGGTAAAATTTTCATGTTAAAAGATGTTGTAGTTATTGAAAAAAATTATAAAAACATGCTGCCTTTGCAAAAAGATTGCAGCACTGTCGTGAAAAATGTCATATTTTTTGCCGGATAAGAAGCAGGCTATGAAGAAGAAAACATGTAAGTAAAGGTAAACAATTTTTGTTTATTGTTAATTTAAAGTAATAAACGTTGCTAATTTTCACGGGTAAACACAGGTCAGCAGCACAAGTCGGCATATTCTTGCGATTCATTCCCGAAAACATATCATTGCAGCCGCAAGCAGCTGTTCAAGGCTGCAGTATGTAGCCTGGCGGGTAATTCAAATTTTTCATTTTTTATACCCGTTACTCGTAGAGTAAAAGGGTATACGAGATTCGTTGGAAAGTATGTAACAGGCAGAAGGAAGCGTTTTCGACCCCATAAAGTATATATATTCTTGATCAGGATCACTAGCCGAGTCGATCTAGCCTTGTCCGTCAGTCCTTATGAACGCTGAGATCTCGGTAACTTTAAGAGCTACAATACTGGGATTAGGCATGTAGATTCCTGAGATTCCTGCGCAGGGCAAGTTTGTTTCAGAAATGTGCCATGCCCACTAACCGCCCGAAACTGTGGCTCCTACGGTTTTGATGCTAGAATTAAAATTTTAACTGAATAACTGAATATTGTTCTCATCAATACCTATCGATTGATTAAAAAAAAGTTTAACACGCCCACTTTAAAGTCCACAAACCGCCCACAAACTTCAAAAAATCGTTAATATGAACGCGGATATCTCGGAAACTATCAAAGATGGAGAAATGGGATCTCAGATATAGATTCCGTAGCAAGTTTGTTTCGCGAATTTGCCACGCCCACTCTAACGTCCACAAGCCGCCCAAACCTGTGGCGCCAACAATTTTCATGCTAGATACAAAATTTTAACTGAAATGTATTGGTCTCGTCAATACCTATCGATTGATCCAAAAAAAATTTGCCACGTCCACTCTAACGCTCATAACGTTTAAATCTGTCTACCGCCCACATAACCATATATTGAGATCACGGGTAGGTGGCGCATTTCAACCTCGCTTTGCTGCTTGCATTTCTCTATTTCCCTTTGGTCCCATTATCTGATTAACGGGTATCTTATAGTCGAGGTACTCGACTATAGCGTTCTTCCTTGTTAGTTTTTAAAAACGTTATATACGGCGCTATTTTATGTAGGTGCGCTGCGCTCCTTATATATTTTTCAAATATCCCTTAAAGGAAATATCACCAAGAATAGGTCTCAAGCGAAGACTGTGGAATTCTTTAGAGCCCGTAGTAGCTTCAAATTCAGTACTAGATTCTCTCGCTTACCACCTGCGGAACTGGGGATGATCTCACAGTTACACAGATAATTCTATATGGATTTTGGTCACCACAAGACTTATGGTCAGACAAAACATTATGCGTCGTTTACGTAAAGCAATTCGATAAAAAGACCAGAATTATGGCCAACAACTCCTGGGGAACGCGTTTCGAGTCGATAGAGGAGGTAACAAAAATCGAAGAGGGAGCTAATGGCTATACCGAAAAGGGACTATCTGGCATGTTTTTAGGAATGGAAAAAACGTTTGCAGAAGTGTATCTTATTGGGAGATTACTTTAAAGAGTATGAAATTGATTTATAAACAGTAAACATAAGCAGTAAACACGTTTGCCACTACGTGGACTGCGGTCCACAATGATATCACAAAACAGCGACGCTTATGTTATGTTTTTTTTTGGCTGGAACACTGATGCAAGTTTTCAGCGACTTACAGTTGTCAAATAGATGTAGCCCGGCTTAGCGGCGCTGAAAGACAATTTTGCGGAATTTTGAATTGTAAATTTGTCATGTCAAGTGTCTGCAAGAAAAAGGCTACCGAAAGAATGAGCGGATGGATGGATAGTCGGATAGATGAATGTCGCCGAGTTGTGGGACTGTGAAATGTAGCTAACAACTTTTGGAGCTCCTTCACTACGTATGGCGAAACTGGGGCGTCACCTGGCACAACACGGGCTCTCCCTGTTTCCTGCACCCTTCCATAGATCGCACCAGAGCCCACCTCCAGACTCTTCTTTCATTCATTCACTAAAAATGCAAAATCTCTCAAAATTTCCGGCGTTGCTGCAACTGCAATGCAATTTACACTTGAATGCGAAATGTTGCCTGTGTCGTCCCTGCTATAAAAAAGAAAGAAAAACATAAACCTGAACAGGAAACAGCTATTGGGGATGCTGCGAGTTGTGTCGTGGGGAGAATTCGGGACTTGGCATCCAAACAATTTTCTATGCGAATAATGCAAAACCTCTCGTGGTCGCACCTGCACCCCGCTCTATTGCAATTGCGCATATTAATTGAAAATTTTTACGCAAAAACGGACTCACTCACAAATTGGTACACTTTTAGGTGGTCTACCTACCGCATTTTGGCCTCAGAGCGGCATGCATAAAAATTCCGCCGGGTTGAGGCTAGGCAGAAGCCTCTATTGGTGGAACAAATCTTTATTACTTTGGCAAATGGAAATGCTCATCAAAAATAAAAAAGCTAGATTGATTTGCGCGTAGTGGAAAAATAGTACCGTGCAATGAAATACTTTAAATACAAAATATGTAAAAAACAAGAAAAGAAGCTAACTTCGATAAGCCGAAGTTTCTATACCCTTGTTGGTCGTTTCCGCGGATGCATTGTAGGTACAGAGCTTTCCGATTTTTAGAAAACTAACAAGGAAGAACGCTATAGTCGAGTACCTCGACTATCAGATACCCGTTACCCAGCTGAAGGGACCAAAGGGAAATGGAGATATGCAAGCAGCAAAGCGAGATTAAAATGCGCCACCTACCGGCGGTATACAGCTTTACGCGTTATGAATGTTAGAGTGGGCGTGGCAAATTTTTTTTTGATCAATCGATAGGTATTGACGAGACCAATAAATTTCAGTTAAAATTTGTGGGCGTCACAGGTTTGGGCGGTTTGTGGGCGTTAAAATGGGAGTGGCAAACTTTTTTTTGGTCAACCGATAGGTATTGATGAGAACAATACACTTCAGTTAAAAATTTTATTCTAGTATCAAAACTGTAGGAGCAACGGTTTTGGGCGGTTTGTGGGCGTTAGAGTGGGCGTGGCACTCTGCTGAAACAAACTTGCGCTGCGTAAGAAGCTCAGGAATCTGCACGCCAAATCTCAATAGCCTAGCTCTTATAGTTTCCGAGATCTCAGCGTTTATCCGGACAGACGGACATGGCTAAATAGACTCGGCTAGTGATCCTGATCAAGAATATATATACTTTATGAGGTCGGAAACGCTTCCTTCTACCTGTTACTTACTTTCCGACGAATCTAGTATACCCTTTTACTCTACGAGTAACGGGTATGAAAACTTATTAAAGAAATTTATAGAAAAATATTCCATTTCAATTTACTACGGTATATGTTTATCGAAAACGAAATATATATATATATATATTTGTTATCCGAGCGTTCCTATGGCAGCTATATGAAAAAGTCGTCCCTTCGAAATTGATCGTCATCTCATGTAATCCTTAGCCCTAGGAAACGATACCATCCATCCACTGGTACACCACATTTACCCAGACTCCCGTCACAATGTTTACGGTGTTATACTTCATGAACAAAGGCTTACGTTTACATTGATAACTATCTGTCACCATCAAGTATCTCAATTACTTCGAATGATCCCTTTAATCTAATATCTAGCTGGTTCCTCGCTTCTTAACAAGACATGACCTCCTATTCTATGTTTTTTTACAGTTGCGCTGTTATTGTCAGATCCTTCTTTATCGCAACTAGCGTTCTTCTGCATTTTATTTTTATCCAGGGCACTTATAATATTGATATGGACATCACTTTTAGTTTCCTTAACTATAAACTAAATTTTCGAAAAGTAACTGATAATAAAGCGAGCACTCGTTTATTATCCGAGTTATCTACCGGTATCGTAGTATCTAACCATCA